GCCGCATCGTCCAGGAAACCACCAAGGTTCTCACGGAAGCTGCGATCGCCGGCAAGACGGACACGCTGCAGGGCCTCAAGGAAACCGGCTGCTACTGCAGCCTCATCCCGGCCGGTACCGGCGGCACCATGACGCAGATCCGCCGCATCGCCACCTCGCGCGACGACCTCATTCTCGAGGAACGCCGCAAGGGTACGGGCGCCGGTTCCGCGAACCAGATGCTGCAGGACATGACGGACCAGGTTCCGGCTGCGGAATAAGGTCAGGGCAGGGGCTTACGAAGCCCCGCCGAAGTTCAGTAACGAAGACGCCCGGAGTAATCCGGGCGTTTTTTGTTTTGGGCTGAGTGGAACGTCAAATCTGTCCACCTGCCAGCGAGGGCGTGTTTTCAGGCCTCGCCGCCGATGGTGTAGCGCGTCAAGACGGAAAGCCGGCGAACGAGATCGGTCTGGCCCGTGCTGCCGGTCTTGGCATAGATAGACTTGGCGTTACTGCGGACGGTCTCATGGGAGATCTTCAATTGCTTCGCCACGGAAGGAAGCGAAAGTCCCTTCATGATTTCCAGTGCCACGCGGGCCTCGCCCTTGGTGAGATCGTAGAGGCTCTTCAGGAGGGGCGTCGCGTCAGCAACCGTATCCGTGGGTTGCGATATCAGCACGATGGCGGAACCGTTCGGCGACAGGTCAAGCGCATCCTTGCGAAGCGGTATGACGTGAAGGATGCAGGTTCTGTCTTCCGTCGGCAGCGGGAAGGAGCCGACGCTGTGTCCGGCGAGCGCCTTGTAGAGCAGCCGGTTCACTCTTTCGTCGGAGATCACAATCCTGTCGCGGGCCCGGGTGGAAATGCATTTCTGGATCGTCTGGAACAGGGTGTTGGCGGAAAGAACGCGGCCGCTTGCCTGAAGTACTGCCGCCGGAGCGCCGATGGCGTTGAGGCCGAGCGTCATGGCGTCGGCTTTCTGGCGCTGCAAACCTGTTGCGAGGGTGAGGCTGCGGGCGATATGCGGCCTTAGCTGGCCGAGTGCGGCCATGGTTTCCGGCCCGATGACGCCGCTGTCGAGCTTGCGCTCAAAAAGCACCGTCATTTCCGGGTGATCGGGCGGCGCGACCTGCGTCGCCACCCCATATCCCAGCCCGCGCGGCATGAGAAAGTCGCGCACGATCGGTAAACCGGCCCATTCATCATGGGTGAAGACATCGAAATCATGTACGAAGGAAAATTGCCCCTCACGGATTGCACGGGTGAGGCGGTCGTTGCGATGATTCCAGCCGCCTTCCATGAAGGCCTGCATCAACTCCTGAAAATTCGGGGTGAAGAGCCATGCTTCCTCCTCGCCCTTGCCCCAGGTGAGGGCGCCGCCCCAGAAATCGAGTCGCTGTCCAATTACGGCGATGACCTTCGCCCAACGGTCCGGGAAAAGCGCTGCCTCGTAAATGTCATCAAGAATGTCTGCCGACGATATATTATTCAACCCGCCACCGAAATGCTGCGCCGGGACCACTTTAAGCTGATATTTTCGTGTTGTTCAATAGATGTGTTGAATAATACTATTGTATTAA